CGCCCCGCGCGCGCGAGTAAAACCGTGTGATCAGACTCGCTCATTTCCACGTCCTCGCCCCTTTCCTTTTCTGCGGCGGCGTCGGGGATGGCCCCGGGCTTCAAGCGAGCGCCGCCGCGGGCGCCACCCACGCTGCGCTTCCCTCTGGGCCACGAGCCGCTTGCGCCGAGCGGGTCGAAGCCTTTGTCACCGTGGCCCGTGCCCTTGTCGGAGCTGTCCTCGGAGCCCTTGCCCTCGTCGACGCAAGGCTGCGCGGGCAGTTCAGACTGGTGGCCAAATGGAGACGGTCGAGGGCGCGCCGCTCCTTTGCCAGGGCCCTTGCTGGCATCATCAGTAGGAGCTGAACCCCCTGTTCATCGCGGGATCAACTGAGTGATGCGCGTGGCTCAAAACGAAAAGAAGAAGTGCCGTGCACATCCGCCAGCGCACGACACTCTGAATAACTCGCATTAGAACTGCCCGCCCAGGGGGGACTTGATCCCACCTGAGGGAGGATGAGGAGGATGAGGGCAAAAACAAAGGGCAGCGGCAACGCGCGACGATCCCCCGCGGCCCATCCAGCCACTTCACATGTGGCAAAACCCACGCAGCGGCAGCCCAGGCGGTAGAAGACAGGAGGGGAGAGAAGAATAATGAAGTGCGAACGACGCACTGCATGGGCGGAGGCGAGCACAACATTTTGGAAATACGTCCACGTCTCTGTCGACCTGACATGCCACCGAAGAGGGGAAGAGACGGGAAGAGTAAGGGCTGGATTTGCGGTGGGCGACTGGGCGTGCGCGACCAAGGTGGAGGGCATCATCCTTCTGCCAGATCAGCCAGCACGCTATTGGGAAGATCGGCTTCGGAATGCGCAGCGAGTTGCTAGCAAAGTCCGTGGACAATGTGGAGGTGCTCGCCGGGGCGCCAATTCAGACGTATTTGGGAGTGCGTGTCCCGCTGGGAAAGGGGGTCGGTCGTCCTCCTCGAATCGCCCAGCCAACATTCCCACTTTTCGACTGAGAACTCTCCCCTCCGATGATCGACCAGCGGCCGCGGGCCATGGGAGAGGCGGTCCCGCAATCTCTCGGCGAAACGTGCGCTGCATGGCTCCGTCACGCGGAATCCTATCTCGAAAAGCTGAATGACCTTCAGGGGCGAAGGTCCCTGCGCTGGCCAGACCGAGCGGGCTGATACGACATGTGAAGGAACCAACCTGAGAACAAGTGGAGGCGCTTGATCAGACAGCATACCACTGCGGTGTATGTGCTGGTGCAGCTCCATTCGACGACCTTTCGTCCCGTCGCCTTGGGTGCTGCAAAATCAGGGATAGAGAGGACCCTGGCCCGGGAAAAGGGGGAGGGGAGGGCCCTCTCAAGGACTGAGGGCTCGCTCGTATCCACGAGTTGGGTTCCTGGAGGCCGCCGAAGCCCATCTCGAGCGGCTGCGGCGGGCTGCCCGCGAAAAGTCGGCTCCGGCCTGGAAGGCTTGAGAACTGGGTGCCGCCCAGGACACCGGCGGCGGTGTTGCGCACAGGACTGTTCGGGATTCTGTTGAGCAGTCGCACAATTTTGCCGCGGGGGGACCCGCTGGGCCTCCGCTTCCAACGGCTTGGATCTCAGGCTCCCGGTTAGATCCTCAAGCTGCTGGGGTCTCTGCGGGGTCCAGCCTGGCAAGGCCCGCGGGCAAATCCCGGGGGGCCCTGGCAGCTCCAGGGAAGCCCCCCCCCCCCCCCCGGAAGGACGTAGAGGATCGACGGGTGCCGTGCCCCTCTGCGGCCGCTGCCTCCGTGGGCCCTGGAGGCTCCAGGCAGGGCGCTCGACGGTCGAGCAGGGGATCCACTACAGAACTGATGTACACCCAAATCGATGTTTTGCCGAGTCCACTAAAAAAGCGTATAATGCACCGTAGATCTACGAAGCATGTTGAGCATATGTCGCGGATCCGACGGCAATGTCGAATATGGGAAAAACAATTCTGTAGTCGGTTTCCTACTCGAAACAGTCGCCCCCCCTCGGCTCAACTGTAACCCATTGCTCCTAGGCTGTCTTCGGCGGTCTTCGGCCAGTTGTCGGCGGTCTGGGGCTGTCTTCTGACGGTCTTCGGCAGTGTCTGGCGGTCTTTGGCGGTTTCCAGCGGTCGTCGGCGCGAACGCTGGATGGGTATCATTCAACAAGGGGTCCATCATCGAACACCTAAAACATGGATGGAGCAGATTCAAACCTCCAAGCTGGCCCAACAGGGCCTTGATGGGACCCAAAACGGCCTAAGCGGGTCCCCAAACGGATAAAAAAAGGTCCCAGGACCGCCCCAAGAGACCCCCCGACGGCCAAAAGAGTTCCAAGACGGCTCAATAGGGCCCCGAGGCGGCCCAAGAGTCCCAGAACGGACTATGAGGGCCCCAGGGGCAAGGAACCCGAAAACACTACCTCAGAGGAACCCATGGCATCCCCAAGACGGTCCACGCAGAAATGGAGGTAAGAGGTATCTTATGCGACAGACTTCTGGGCGCTGCTGCACAGGTTGCCACACAGAGAACTTCACTGGCACGTTGACGGAGTTGCAAACAGGCACCCTAACAACCGCATAGAAAAGAGCTCAGCGCGCGACGGCCAAAGCGTTGCACTGTGCGGTGCTGAGGGGTGTCTGCGATTACGGGCGTGGCTGACACTGGATTGCTTACGTACTTTGACAGTCGCCGCCCTCAAGGCGGAGGGCCGTCTTCGGGTGGTTTTCGGGTTGAGTCATAACTCAAGTCTCTGGCGGCCATTCGGGATGATCCGGGCACCCCAGGAAGACTTTCGGCGATGCACAGCCACTGGAAGGCATCCCGAGGCTGGAGAGCCGCCGAGATCCGACGAAAAACGACCGAAAACCTCGACCTTCGAGCCTCGAGAACAGGGACCCTGAGCCTACCCGCGGAAGGCTCCTCAGCTGGGATCCGCCTGAGGGCGGCGCCGCGCGGGGCTGTTCGGGACCGATGTGCAGCGCGCGCCGCGTAGAGGTCACGCAGCACTGCCAGGGATCCCACCACGTTGCGGCGACCGACCGTGCGGCGACCTCGAAATCCCGTGTGACCTCACCGCACGGTCCGTCACCGCACCGTTCTGGGGCCCAGGAGACCCCCGTCGCTCGAGACTTCCTCGGAGCGCGACCCGAGCCCCAAAGCCGTGCGGTCAATCCCCACTGGTTCACCACACGTTTCGCCCCCGGCCTGGTGCCAGGAGCGTTCGGTGCTCGACGCTTCGGCTGGATTCAGCTGGGGGCGAGTCAGCGAAGTCAGCGCCTGTGGCATGGGATGTGACGGCGCCTGGCCGCGTGCCAGGTGCCTTATTGCATGGCCCGAAGCAACACCAAGGAACCCCAAGACGGCCCACAAGGAGCCCAAGAGAACCCCAAGGCGGCCTGGAGAGGCTCCCAAAACGGCTTCCAGAGAGGCCAGACGGCGCAAGGGCGCGCCAAGACTGCCTCAGAGGCCCCCCAGAAGCCCTTAGAAGCCTTCAAGAGGTCCCCTAGCCCCAAGAGGCCTCCAATATGCTCCCAAGAGGTTCCCAGGAGGCCCCACAACGACTCGATTGTATGTGCTCCAGACGTGCACCCCGCGAAGCGAAAGGGATCCACGTCTGGAGGTGACGTGCTAAGCGGCAGCGTTTTTTTTCGCGGATGCTGTAATGCAGCGAATGCAACGTATGCAAGTATTGCATAGGTACTACATGTTGAATTGCTGTTCAGTCTAATGGAATCCCCCCGAACCTCCCCCCAGAGTCCGCCGACCCAAAAGTGGAGGACCACGTCTGGGTCCCCAAAAATCAAAACCACAAAGGTAATCTATGATTTGGGCCCCTGGGGCATCTTGGGGGTCCCAGGAGAGCGTCCAGACGGCTCGAGTTGGCCTCAGTACGGACCAAGATGGCCCCAAGACAGTCCAAGATGGCTCAAAGAGGACCCAAAAAGCTCCCAAGACGGCCTAAGAGGGCCATAAGAGCATCCCCAAGAGCGCCTCCAGATGGCAAAACCATTGATTACCCTGAGGTTGTTCCATGGATTTTAGCGTTCGCGTCTTTTTCGATGCTCAGAGGCCCATGACGGCCCAAGCAGCCTCCAAGACGGCCTCAAAACGGCGCCGGAGGCCCCCAAGAGGGGCCCAAGAGGGCCATAGATGGCCCACAATTTTTTTTTGCTCCACGCCTAGCCCTCCAAACTTGACATATTAGCCAAATAAAAAGCAACACTGCCAGCGGAGGGAGATGTCAGATATATGGCTCAAAGAGGCCCCAAGACGGTCCAAGATGCCCCCAAGACGGCCAAAGAGGGGACCCCAAGAGAGCCCAAAGGCGGCCCGGATAGGCCCCCCAAACAGAATCCAGAGAGGCCAGACGGCGCAAGAGCGCCGCAAGACTGCCCAAGAAGCCCCCCAAGAAGCCCTAAACATGCACCCGACAACCCTCCAGGGGCCAACAACAGGCCTCCAAGAGGCTCCCGAAACGTTCCCAGTCAGCCTCACAACGACTGGATTGTACGTACTCCAGACGTGCACCCAGCGAAGCGAGAGGAATCTCCCACCTCCTCCTTCATCTCTTCCTCGACCCTCCCCCTCCCCCTCCTCCTCCTCCTCCTCCTCCTCCTCCTCCTCCTCCTCCTCCTCCACATCCACACGACTTCCATCTCCACGGCCTCCTCCTCCTTCTCCTTTTCCTCCTCCTCCTCCTCCTCCTCCGCCTTCGACACCTCAATCTCAAACTCAACCTCTTCCGCCTCCACCTCATCTCCTTCATTCTCTTCCTTCTCCTTCTCTTCCTCCTCCTCCTCCTCCTCCTCCTCCTGCTCCTCCTCCTCCTGCTCCTCCTCCTCCTCCTTCTCCTCCTCCTCACCCTCCTCTATGAGAAAAGATCTATCCGCCGGCGATCATCGAACAGAGGGGGAGGCTGCCACCGCACGCCACAAACGAAATTCTGGCCGACGCAGAAAACGCATGACAACGCACACACACAACCACGGAAGTGCCCCCCCCCCCCCCCCACCCGCGCGCCCGCGCACAGGCCAGCGCGCTGAGCTCTCGCGCAGAGGATGCCCGCCAAACTTGGGGACGTCTTGGGGCGCTGCCGCCACCATGCGGGGCCGCTGCCCCGCGCCGCATGCTCCGAGCCAAGACGGCTCTCGCGCGCTCCCCGCGCGAGCCGCCGGCGGATTGCTGCTGCCGCCTCCTCCATCTCCCCTGCTGCTGCTGCTGCTGCTGCCGCTTCTCGTCCTCGTCGTCGTCCTCTTCCTCGTCCTCCTCGTCTTCGTCCTCGTCTTCATCCTCCTCCTCCTCCTGCTCATTCTCCTCCTCCTCCTCCAACTCCCATCTCTTGTTCATGTTCCCTCCTCCTCCTCCTCCTCCTCCTCCTTTTCCTCTTCCTTCTCCTCCTTAACCTAAGAAGCTCCAGTGGGCTGCTTCTCGACCCATCATGAATCAGACCAGGATAAGGGACCCTGTATTGAACAAGTGATACGTCAGAGGTCCAGTGAATGGAAGGGGGAACGAAGACGGATCATATATCTTTTCAAGCATTTGGGCGCTTCACCTCGGGAGCATCCAAAGGCCTCATTCCTATCTTGACATTTGCTTTCCGTCCTAACGTTCGGACTCCAGGAGGCCGTTTCCGGGCCGCCATCAGAGAAGCGGTCCTGGGTGATAAAACAGGCCCCGAGGAAGAGATCGACACCTACGCATGCTCAGGGGCTCGAGCAACCAATAGTGTTCTGGAGGTCTAGGTCCCCACGGCGTGCCGCCATCCCAGACCTCTGACGTCTTGTTTTTTCAATACGGACTCCCCGGACCTCTCGCCACATGCCGCGCCGCGCATGCCGCGGCCACCGTGCCGCGACAGTCCACGATGATCCCCAGCATCATCCCCGCTCTTCCTGAACATAGGATGTCAGAAAAGAAGCCGCATGCCCATCTCACCATCGCGCCTGGCCACCCTGCCTTCCTTAGCGTCGCGCCAGCAAAGGATAGCTTAGCGATGCCGTGGTTAAGGATCTTGGTAACACACAGGGGGCCTGGCGAAGTTGCATCAGTGTCGAATGCGGCAGCACGGCGATGGGAACCCGAGCAATGAGATCCAGCCCAGAATCTCGCAACCCGCGGAACTTGTCAAATGCTGGTGTGGAACGCTCCGCGCTGCGAAACCGCGGTGTTCACTGACGCTAACGGGTGGTCGCGGCGGGTGGACATTGACGGCTGTGGCGGGTGGGTGGTTAGACCCTGACGGGCAGGTCGGGGGGCGGGCCCTAACGAGCGGGCTGGGCCAGCGGGACAATCAAGCGGGAGGGTGGGCTTTCAACGAAGCGTCCCGTTCTAACGGGCGACCCGCTCGGGTGACGGACCTGGGCGACGACGGCGACGACTGCGACGTGCGTGCAGGGCGACCACGTGGAAGGCGATGGCAAAGACAATAGCGAACAAGGCGACGTTGGCGATGACCTGGTGGGTAAACGCGACCGAAAGAGACGACGACCACGACGACGACGTCGACGCAACAGAGACACGAGCTAAATGCCCAACGAGCGCGCGAGGAAGGAGGGGGCGGCAAGGAAGGGGGATATGGAGCTGAAATTGATTTCGGGCGAAGTAGCACCTGAGAAATAAAGAGGCGGGCGTGGCCACACAAGCCCAGGTGGGCGAGAAAGCTCCGGTGACCATGACTGCACACAATCTGGAAAGACATGCGCGCAATCTTGCTGAAACAAGCTCTGTCTGAGAATGTCTATGCCTCTGGCTCTGTCTGTTTCCTTCTCTCTCTCTCTCTCCCTCTCTCTCTTTTTCTGCCTCTCCCTGTCTCTCTGTCTTCCTGCCTGGCTGTCTGTCTGTGTGGCTTTCTCTCTCTCTCTATTCCTCTGTTTGGCTCTCCGTCTGTCTGCCCATCCCGCTGCATGTATCCTTTTCCGTCCTCGATGAGCCGGAATCGCGCTGAGATGGCTGCGGAGGAGGGGCAGGAGATGACGGAGATGTTTCTTGGGTCGGCTGGCGGTTCGGGGGCCCTGGCGCAAGGCCCCTGCCACCCCTGGGAACTTGATGCCCCAGGGCGGTGGGTGGGTTCAAAACCGGCCGGTAGCCCAAACCAAAAGGGCAACATGCGTCGGAGGTGGATACACGTCCTCGGAACTGCCCCTTTTGAAGGGTGGCTGTTCCGGGGACTGTGGCGCAGGGCCCCTGCCATTCCCAGGAACTTGATGCGCCCCCCATGCGATGGGAGTGAAACGCCAAGAGGGAGAGGAGACCCCGAGGCGAGGGGGGGGATCCCGGAGCCCACCTCACCCGACGCTGCGAGCATCTGGAGGCCCACCCCCCTCACCGTGGACCTTTCCCTCGGCCTAGCTGCCCCCCTTTTGCCCAGCCCCGCGGGGGGGCCGCCCGCCCTGGGCGGGCAGCGCGGGCGCATGCGGTGCCAAGGCCGAGGGAGGAGGCCAACCTCACCTCGCTCCTGTCCCTCCGATTCCCACGGCACCGACGCCTCCGCCCGTGCCGCGCCGCAGGCGTGCAAGGGCGCAGCGCGGGCGTGATCTCGAAGGCCCGCCCATTCCCCATCGTGCCCACCACGATTGACGCGCCCCTCCCGCCCTGGACCCCCCCCCCACCAGCAGCGGAAGGGCTGGGGCCTGCAGGCGGGGAGGGCGCTCCCGCCGCGGCGGCGCCCGCCGAACGGCGTGGGTTCAAGACTACCCCGAAATCGCGCCATTGATCCCGCGGTCGGCCCCCGTCAAAGGGTCGGGCGTGGCCCCGACGCTGCCCGCGCTCGTCGCAATCCGGCCCCGCGCGCACGACGCCGCGGTCGGACCCCGCTTCTGAAAAGATCGCGCGGGACCCCAGGCTGCTGACGCCGGTCGCAATCCGGGTCCGCCTGTGCGACGCTGTCTGGGGCGTGCCCGAGCGGAGGTGTCTCCGCGGCTGAAGTCACGCGCGCGCGCCTCCCCAAGCGGGCGCCTGTCCCGCTGCGGCCACCCCTCCACGACGATCGCGTCGGAGAGGTCCTGGGAGGCCTCGGTCATCTGATCGCGCATTTGCCGCTTCAGGTCCGGGGCCGCCACGTGGGCCCCGAAGGGCTCGTCGAAGTCCGTCGTCTTCACGCAGCCGAGGTCGTCTGCCTCCTGATTCTCTTAGCGCGGGAGCCAATCCGAATCCGGCGCCATTATCTCGAGGCTCGCCCCCTGGCGGAATTTCCTGGGCCCCGAGAACAGCTTCGCGCGAGGGATTGTGCCGGGGAGCCCCAGCGCCGCGATGGCCCTGTTCGGGTCGCCTGCCTTGGCCCGCGCCCATGGGAAGCAGGCCTTCTTCACCTCCAGCGCGTGCCAGTGGGCCCCTCGGGCGCCGCAGTCTGGCGGTGATTTCCAGCCGCCAGTCCAGCGGCGCTCCGCCTCTGCCATCGCGCCCAAGCGGACGTGCCTGGTGCTCTCGACCCCGGACTTGGCGGGCGCTTGCAGTCTTTGTCTTTCTACCAGCCGAGCGCCGATCCACGTCGGCGCGAGCCTGGTCGCTCAGGGCAAGGAGACCCTCTTTTTGACTGTCCTCACGGCGCTGGCGAGCCGGACGCACACGGGCCCCAAGGGTGGCTCCTCGGGGCCAAGGTTTTCCCAAACCAAACGGGTCTTCCCAAACCAAATGTTGCGGAGCCAAAGCGCCGGGTCTTCCCAAACCAAGCCCGGGTCTTCCCAAACCAAACGGGTCTTCCCAAACCAACGTGTTCCCGGGTCTTCCCAAACCAACCAAGTCTTTCCAAACCACCGCCCCTGGTCTTCCCTAACCAAACGGGTCTTCCCAAACCAGCCCCCTAGGCCTATCCAAACCAATCGGGCCTCCCCAGATTTAGCACCTGGGGTCTTCTCAAATCGACAGGGTGGTTCCAAATCATTCATCTGGGTCTTCTCCCGTAGTTCTCGCCTTAAGTTCGTTTTCGTTGTTGTTTTCGCTTCCGCCCTCGTCCTCGCCTTCGTTCTCGCCTTCGTTTCGCCTCTCTTTCCGTTTTCGTCCTCGCCTTCGTGTCGTATTTGTTTTGCTCTCGTTTTCGCGCTCGTTCTTGCCATTGTTATCATTTTCGCGTCGCCTTAGTTTCCGCAGAGTTTGCTCGTCTTCGTTTCGCTTTCGTTTCGCTTGCCATCTTCGTTTTCTCCTTTCGCTTTCGTTTCGCCGTCGTTTCCGCTCTCGTTCCCTCCTTCGTTCTCGCCTTCGTCTCGTCTTCGTTTGCGTCCTCGTTCTCGCCTTCGTTTCGCCGTTGTTTGCGCTCTCGCTCCGGCCTTCGTTCTCGCGTTCGCTTCACCTTTGTTTGGTTTGCTTTCATTTCCACCCTCGTTCTCGCCTTTGTTTCGTTTCATTTCGTTCGAGTTCGCGTTCTCGTTATCGCTTTTGCCCTCGTTGTCGCATCGGCTTCGTTTCGCCCTCGCATCCGACCTCGTTCCCGCCTTCGTCGTCGTCGACGTCGTCGTCGTCGTCGCGCCATCCTCGCCGTCATCGTCGTCGCCGTCGTCGTCGCGCCATCCTCGCCGTCATCGTCGTCGCCGTCGTCGTCGTCGACGTCGTCGCGGTCGCCGTCGTCGTCGTCGGCGACGTCGTCGTCGTTGTCCCCGCTGTCGTCGCCGTCGCCGTCGTCGTCGTCGTCGTTCACGTCGGCGTCATGTTGTCGTCGTCGCCGCCGTCGTCGTCGTCGTGGTCAACGTCGCCGTCGTCGCCGTCGCCGCAGTCGTCGTCGTCGTCGTCGTCGTCGTCGTCGTCGTCGTCGCCGTCGTCGCCGTCGTCGTCGCCGTCGTCGTGGTGGTGGTCGTCGTCGTCGTCGACGTCCGCGTCGTCGTCGTCGTCGTCCTCGACGGCGTCGCCGTCGCCGTCGTCGTCGTCGCGACGGCTGGATGCCTTTCGAATTGAGGGCGAAAGCGCACCCCGGAGCCTAGACATCCTGTGTTGTTCGTTTGGTGGGCATCCAAGGGTCTGGACCCCTGCCCTAGGGCTGGTTTTCCGTCCCGACTGGTTTTGCACGGCCCAGGGCTCGTTAAGGGCTTACGGAAGCCGGGCGCACGCGTGCCAGTTTCATGACGGGTCATACTTCAGATGACGCATACTATTTTAGTGTCCCGCCCACCCGACCCGACCCGCCCATCCAACCCTCCCGTTTGGGTCCGCCTGCCCGA